TATGCTTAATTTTAATGATTTTAATGATATTACACTTTAAAGGAAGGTAATTTGCATATTTTTGGTTTTAGATAAAAGAAATGAACTTCTGGAAAAAATGAAGCAAAAATGGTGCAATTTGAAATAAAAACGAGCAAGAAAGAAAATTCTGACTTTGCACATTTCTATATATATTTTTTATGCTTAATCTACTTTACATTTCTCATATATTTTTGAATAGAATTACACTTTAAAGAAAAATAGTTTTCATACTTATTTTGTTGGTATATTTGTTAGGAGTGAAACGCAACTGAGACGAGACGAAACAAAGCCAAACGGAGCAAAACAGTGGAGCTGCTGCAAGGTGGCGCCTAAGGCGTCAAAACTGGCGCTAGAGGCACCATAATTCAGAGAAAATGTCCTAAAATCTAGAGATTTGACGCCTAAGGTGCCAGAACTGGCGCTAGAAGTGTCAGATATGATATAAGACTGATTAAGGTGGTTTGAGATGAATTTTGAGCAGATTTTGAAGGCTCCAAATGTTTCAAACGTCACATGAAGTGATTCAATGCATCTAGACACTTTGGCTCTTTAATGAAGGGATGTGTCTCTTGAATGAATGAACATGTCTTTTGGGATTCAAAAGGTGTTACTTTTTAGAGAAAATTTGGGAGAAAAATTTGAATTCTTTTTGAAAGGAGGCAGCCCCTAATTAAAAAAGGAGAGGATTCTAGGGCATGAGGGTGGTGTGAGATAGAGAGGAAGGCTTTGGAAGAGAGGATTTTCTTCTAGGGTTGTAAGAGGAGAGGGAAGGCGAGAGATTTCTTCTTCATTACATTTCTATGAGAGAATTGAGTGTGATTGTAAAGAGAAAAAGTACTAAAAGGGATCTTCTAAGGATTTGCATAGGAAGGAGTGTGAGATAAGTTATGTTCTTTTCTTTTATTTTATTTATAAACTTATTTTTATATATAAAATTTGTGTTTTTTTCGTATCATTCTCAAGAATTCTGAGTATTCTTCTTTATCTTATTCCCTATAATTAGATTTGATTTTGTGAAGAATTAATTTTGTTGTGGAAGGTTTTAGTGTCAATAAATTGTGATGATTCAAACTTTAATCTTCATTTACTTTTTCAATTTGGCCAATTAAAATGTTAAAATTTGTTGAGAAACATAAGATCTGAAAGGGCTATGCTTTCTACAACAAGGTCAAAGTCACATCCAAATTCATGGGTGAGAATATAGTCCGTGAGATTGAGTGCAAATAAATAGAGAAATATACTTTGTTGGACGCATAATTGAAGATTTTAAGGTGATAGATTAAAATCTCCAATTTGTTCCAGTTGATTGAAAACTAATTCAAGATTGCTAGCACTCAGGTCAGGGAGAAGTGAGAGCTCTAGAGTGAGAGCAGATATCCTCCCAAATTAATCACAAAATTAGGGATCAAACTCTGAATTAGTCAATATTCTTTATGCACTTGACATAGGGTAAATAATATGATTGCTCTTATTTGGCACAATACAAATTTATATATAATTTTAAATGATTTTAATTACTCCACTAACAATATACTCATTGTAAAAGGGAATGATGTTTTCTTAAATTTGAACTCTTAATCACAAAACTTTGTTTAGTCTTAATAAATTTAACTTTGAAGTTTAGAAATTAGTTTAGTAAACTTAGTTTTTTAAATTACATTTTTGTTAGCATTCATCAAACCCATTTTAACTTGTCTTTCTTACTTTAATTTTTATAATTTGAATATTGTGATTTAATGTTATTATCATAGGAATTTTCATCTTCCAAACTATGACTTAACAGAAGTAGACTGTAATTAGCCTAATCGATTTCTTACTACTGGTTTGATCACCCACTTCGGTTTGATCGACCGCCTCAACATGATCAATCGATCGGTCGTACACGGGCGATCACCCGCTCTTTTGGGTTCGATCTACCACTCCAGTCCTATCACCTGGTCACTTCAGTTTGATCGACCACCTCACTAAGATTTACTGATCTCTTTGGATTTGACCAATTATCCCGGATCGATCACCTGCTCTTTTGGGTTCGACCCAATCACTCAGGCTTGATCGGTCGCCCTGACACGATCTAATTATCACTTTGGGTTTGATCGGCTACTTTGGTCCGATCACCATATCTTTCATATTCGATCGACCCCTTTGGTTCGTTCATCATGTCACTTCAGTTTGATCAGCATCCCCAACATGATCAACCAATCACTTTTGATGTGATCGGTCGTTCTGGTCGAATCACCCAATATTTTGGGCCTGATCGATTGTCCTAGATTGATCGACCCATCTTTTTGATTTGACTGGCCACTATGTCTCGATCAATCGATCACTTGCATGCTTTTATGCTTTCTTGCATGTTTCATGCTTTCCTTGCATGTGTATGAAAAATCTTTTTAACATGATGTCTATGATTTATTTTATTGCATAATAAATATATATGTCTATTTTCTTTGCATGTGACATATAAAAAAATTATACAAAAACATATAAATAGACAAGTTGACAATTCAGAGTCTTCAAAAAGAACCAAGAAAACAACTATCTCCACTTATACCCTTGATATACACACTAATGAGGTAGTATGAATGGGAAGCTTGCAGTAGACATGATCTTACTAGGACATCCCTCAGGTGAAAGTATCACATAGTCCACACTTAATTTTTCTTAAATACATGCCTTGAGGTGCTCTAAATGAGAAGACATTAATAGACAAAAAAATTCACTAGAAAAATTCATTAAAAACAAATGACAGATATAATTTTCACTTATACTTTGGAAGACACACACATAAGTTAGTCTCGTTATAAACCTAGTAGTGGACATATTGTCAATAAAAAGGCCTATTGAGAGCAAGTGGTAAATAAAACCCTTATTTATACGCTTATAAGACAAGCCTATGAAATAGTCTCAATGAGAAGTTGGGAGTGGAGATGATTATTTCCAGAAGGATCTCTTACGAGCAAATGTCAATTTCTCCATTCATACCCTTGAAAGATATGTTTATCTGGTAGTCTTGATGGGAAAGAAGAAGTGGACAAAACCTTATACCATTGAAGACATGTCATAAGATAACCACGACGTGAAGCTGTTAGTGGACAAGATTCTCAGTAGAAGGCTGAGAACAAGTGGTTGATAGAGTATCACTAAAAAAATCTCAAAAGACTACAAGCCTTAAAATGTATATACATATTAAAATAACCTTACAAGGTTATAAGCCTAAAAAAATACATATATACTTCAAAAAAGATTCAAAAGGATATAATGTAATTGCCTAAACTCTCATTCATCGAGACATTATTTATTTTGGCCTGATAACAACTCTATCCAATAACTTCTGTAATTGCATCTTCCATTTGTAATAACTCAAACTCTCATCCATCAATGTGCTGTTTTCTTTGGTTTGATGGTCTCACGATTTTGTATCGTTCATGTATCTTTATACTTAGAAGGCTATAAGCCTTGGATGATATATGCATACTAAAAAAGCTCAGAAATTTATAAGGCAAAGAAGACACATGCACACTAAATAAATTTATGAATGTTATAGGCCTCATAAAGTATATATTCATTAAAAAAAATTCATAAGTCAAATAGTATAAATGCATTCAAAATATACTAGAAGACTATAAGCCTTGGAAGGTGAAAGTACATTTTAAAAGTTTTAGAAGACACAAACCTAAAAAATTATATAATCTTTTATCATATAAAGAATGTGCATTAACTTTGATTGTGGTTTTTTACTTAATCAAGCAGCTAGATATTCATCTAAAAATTTTAGAAGACATAAACCTCAAAAGAGTTCGATGTCACTAAGCTCCTATTGGGGGCAATCTATCTTAATTGTGCATATTAAATTCCCAACAAGACTTATAATTATTTTATCTTCTCCGGGGACAAGCTACAATTAATCAATATTCTTAAATGAAGGTCAAAAGGTCATCGAGCATCAACACCAAGAATTTTAGTTGAGATTTTATACTCCAAATAAATTTTATCTTAATGGAATATATAAAATCATTAGATGTACATAAGATCACCATGCTTTATAACAATATCACCAACAAAATCTTGTGATCTTCCTATGGTCTTCAAAATTCTCTGCAACTTCCATTAGATCATATTTTTCTTTATGAAGTTTTTTTTTTAACTTAGTTATAAAAAAACGAAGGGGATAACAAAAAAGGTAGGCTGAGAGATAAGAGGTGCTTGTTGTTGACCTTGTTTTCAACTCAGTTCATCATAGAGATAAGTTGTAAATAGAGAAAAACAAAGTATCAAATAAGTTTGAAATCACACAACTCCAATATGTCCAATTTAATGCATACATTCATAACTCTACTAACAAAGTGCAACAACTGCGCCTGAAAAAGGCGATTAAGCTGTTGTATTTTAACTCACCACTCAATCTGAATTGTTCATCACCTCTACATAACCAAAAAACTCCAGATCGTTCATATGGTTATATATATTAATTAAACTCTTCTCGCTACATGAGGAATGTACACATACAATACTAGTATGAATATAATTTAATTGCCTTGTACTATTCTCTATTCTCTACATTCACGGAGCTCTTGTGCCTCTGTTTTATACAAATGTATTAATTTGCTTTATGTTTCTCTTATTTTTTTTTTTAAACCTATGCAATCCCTTATGAAATGTGAATTATGTGCCATAATTTATGCAACATCATTAAGAAATTAGATTTATGAATTTTCTACTTAGTGGGTTTTACGCAAGATGCAATTAAGAAAGTCCGTTATTTGATTGTCACATGCGAGAAATGTAGAAGGGTTAGGAAGATGAAAATAACCAATAATTTATTAATTATAAATTTACCCATCAATAAATTATTTTGAAAGGCGAAATGTTGAAAGAAAAAAAAGAAGATTAATTTATAAATATTAAAATTTTGATGCTTAAGCTGTAAATAATTATATTTTGTGTGGTTGCTATGCAAAATCTCCTTCAATTTTATCATTTTTACAAAACCCAAAGCCTAAACCACTACCGTCCCAATCGCGCATCGCGAGATGCTCCTCTCACATGCTCGCCGCTGTTCTCTCCGGCGACCACCTACACTCTTCCTCCCCCACCCCCCCGTCTCCCCTTCTCTTCCTTCCGAAACCTCCCACAGGCTGAGCTCTCCATTTCTAGGTTTTCACAGGCACTCATCTTCCATACCCATCACGCCCGTTGCCTACCCCCCAAAGCCCAAAGAATCACCTGAGGGCGACGAGAACAAACCCTCTTCAACCGACGGAAAACCTTATCCGATAAGGGAACTGGAACTGAGAGAAAGGACCATTTCTTCCCCGAAGGAAGCCGGAGAGGTTTCACCTGGCTTTGATCGGCGGGGGTGGACTCGACGGGACGTGCGTTTTGTGAAGGATGTCCCGAAGATAGCTCCGGTTTCTTATCCATCACGTGTGGCGCCGCTACCGGAGGACAGGACGGCGGCTCCTGATGCTGCAGAGGGAGACTTTGCACAGGGGGATCTCCAGAGTGAGGCAAGGAAGATCCAGTCTGATGCAAGGGTGAGGAGCTATTTTGGATTGACGCAGGAGGAGATCATCCCATTCCCGACACTGATTAAGCTGGATAAACGACCTACGAAGGTTCCCATTGATTTGGCCGCCGCCATACGTGAGGTCAAGGTTAGTACGTATTCCTGTAGTTTGCTTAATTGGTCTCGGCTCGCTCACCAAATGTATTCATAGATTTAAGTTTGTCAAACAGCGGCCACCCGATATATAGGATTACTATGCTGGGCCTTGGAAATGCTCTTATTGCTTTATTAAAGGAATTATATGTTAGTTTTTGCAAAAACAAGAGCCCCGGCCAATTTTTTTATGATGAATGAATTTAGCATCCTGATTTTCTTTACATATTAATGTCTATTTGCTTTGTTGCTGTAAGATTTAAAAAATTTTGCTGCCTGACAAAAGTCATTTGCTTCGAACAAGTTTCAATTATTTTCACAGAAAATTTGTTTTATGTAATTTTGTTGAAGTATAACGTAAAATTACTTAAATGTTTCAATTATGTGACATGTAAGGTTCATATGGTGGACTTGACTTATTCAAACTAATGTTGTTACCTATTATAGGCTTCATAGAGTCATTATTAAAAGATTATCATTCATATTGATGGCATGAAGCGTGAGGGAAGTTAGAAGATCACTATAGTGTTAATGTGCATATGTAATCTATTTAGTTAGTTGAATTTGGAGGAATAATAATGTGCATAAAAGTTCTAAATGGGTAGGAAATGATTTCATGGGACTTTTGAGGGAGCAAGAAGGGATATGGTCAAGTAGATGAATTTGCAAATGAATGAGACAAATGCAATTGATTCCTCATAATTGTTGCGTAGAATTCTCGAAGTATCTTGTTGTGAATCTTGAAACACTATTAAGTGGGAGAGTGCCGGAGTTCATTAAATCTGCTTAAAAATAAATTTTTTTCATTATTATAATTATTTTAGTTACATCAATTGTCATACTCCTTTTATAGAAGAACCTTTTGAACAAAAGAAAAAAAATTTATAATTTCCATCATAACTCATGTCAAATTAACTAATGATAAACAACAATATAAATTACAAAAGCAAATAAGGTAGATGATTTCTCGAAGAAGTTGACCACTTTGGTTCCAAGTGTTGAATCTGTACTAAGCTGACAAGCAAAAGGATTTCCACTCTGCTTGATAGGCTAAATCTCAAACAATGGTGCAGAAGACGCTATAAAATGCTAAACGTGATGCAATAGTTTTCATATGCAATGCAATAACAAGTTATTTGTTGACTGTAATTTTTACTTGCTTGAATTTTGATATTGTGCCATCAATTGAACGTAACATATGGAGTAGTGAAATAATTCAAATTCAGCAAAAAAATGGATCATTTATCAGCTCATAACACCCTCTCATTATTTCTCACATTATTTTAGGATAATAGAAGGATTTTCTTAGTTTATTTTTTTTGATCAAAAGTTTGGACTAGAAAGTAAAATTTTGAAATTAGAAATATTTTTTTCTGAAATTATAGCATATAATCGAAATAATTTCAAAATTTGTAAAAAGGACACTTTCAGTGAATTTACACAATTTGTCTAATATTAAATAAGTTAAAGGTGAGTTGCATATTTTAGACTCAAGAAGATTTCTCAAGCAGACTTAATGTTTAGTCCTATGCATAATAGTAGTTCTACGAATGGAAATAGTAAATCCTTTATTGCAGAAAATAATTGAAACTTCTATTTGCTGGAATGCTCTTTAGGCAAGATCAGACGTTTAGGTAAGGAGTCATAGAAAAAGGGGGTGTTTGACCGTATAAAATAGACCAGCTCAGACTGGTTAATATTTTATTGACTTTTTTGGCTTTATTTGGGTTGCATTTCAGGCAGACTTTATGTTTGTTTAAAGTAGAAAATTTGAGGTTTTAATATGGATTAGGATAGGTTTGCGTTTAACAAGAGGTTAGAGTTTGTTGGCAGATTGCTTGGATATTTTTAAGACGTTCTTTGGGATGCTTGAACTTGAACTTGAATGCATTTGGTGGGCCGACTGATGGCATATCTAGAGTGAGGTGGTTGTCCTATGTTGGAAGAGTTGGTGCTGGTGGTGGTGGCGGTGACAACAATATTTGGGTTTAGTGATTTATGGAAAATGCGATTGAGGATAAGAGGAAGGTAAGCTTGCTAGTGGAATCATTGTTAGAGAATAATAGGATTTGCTGGTGTTTGGGGACTGTTCTGCTTAGTCGAAGGTTTAGGAAAGGTCTTACATGAAGTTGATATGGAGTTAATGATACTCCTTGTTTTTGATGCATCTTGTAGTCTAGATGGAAAGAATTTTACACTAACTTTCAAATGATGGGGAGTACACTCGGGGAAATTGGAGGATCCTAACAATATACTTATGATTTCTTAGATGGTGGAAGTAAGGGTGTCAACTCGAGTTTGGGAGCCGGGTTTCGGTTTGACCTGAAATTAACCCAACCCAAAACTACTCGACGCAAATCCGACCCAAATGTTAAAAAGGTTAGAAAATCCAACCCAAACTCGACCCATCTTCAACCTGTCGACCCAAACCTGACCCATTTAGCTCGTTTAACATAAGACAACAACTATTCAGGTTGATTTTGGGTTTGCTAGTTAATTTTGGTCAATTTTAGGTTCGCAAGTTGTAGGGTTGTTAACGAGCTTATTTCAAGTCGAGCTAGGGCCGAGTCGAAATCGACTTGAATAGATTGAGTTCAAATCGAAATTGGATCATGGCTTATTATGTTCGATTTCAAGCCATCTTGGCTCAAAATTGACTTGAACTCGATCTGGCTCGAAATCGAAACGAGCTAACTCAAAATTGAGTTGTTTGGATCCGTTCCAACTCGAAATTGACTCAATTTGGCTCAAAATCGAACAAGATGTCTCAAGTTGAGTTATTTCCTTTAAATTTATTTTTGTTTATATTTGACTCGAATAAATTTGACATGACTTGTGTTCGTCTCGAATTAAATTCTCCATGTGCGCGTCATCACATAATTTTTGAAAATCTAATCATTTTATATTTTTAAACGACAATGTTAACATTCATATGCCCAATATGGGATTGAAAGCCCGGTGGTGGAGACTGAGTTGCAAAATGTGGGATTTTGTTTTTTCTGGAATTTACATACATATCACTCATTTATTTTCCATATAGAACGTTTAAACGTGTGGTGGGGTTCGTGGGTTTTTTTTTCTGGCATTTACATGCATATCACTCACATCTTATATATTTATATATCTTTTAAATAGCAGGGCAAGGGGGATGAAATTGGGCCTTTACATACATAACATATTCTATATGTATTTGCATATCTAAACACACGGGCATTTTCATACATACCATCCAATTCATATGTATTTACATATATACTTTTAATAAATAAAAAATACTTTGAGTCGATTTCAAGTTAGTTTTAGCCGTTCCGTGTATGGCTCGAAATCATCTCGAAAAAAAATTCAATCCAATGTTTTTGCTCATACCATTGCTCGTTTATTTCTACCCGATCTCGATTCGAGCTAAAATTTGAATCAATTTTGGAGCAACTAATGGTGTTTGAGCTAAATTGACAGCCCTAGTGGGTTGGTTTTGCGCCAATTTTGGTTTGGTCGGTGAAGCCAAACCCAGTTTTTTTTTTAATTCAAGTTGAAGCATTGGGTCAATTTTTGACACCTTGAGTTGAAGTGGGTGGAATTATGATGCAGATAATTGTTTTAAATGGGAAGGAAAGGATGCTGTCTGCCTTGACTGCTATAGGAGGAAATAGATTTTAAAGGAGATGGAGGGTGGAAGATGGAAGCTATTTAGATAAATACAAGAGAATCAAAGCTGTTGAGGTCAAATTCTCCGAGTATCATTTGTCAAATCCTCAAGATAATAAATGCTAGATCCTTAGAGCTTAAGAGTGAGAGGCTGGAAGCGAATAATTCTTTAAAGCTGTCTAACAATCATTATACATTTTCATTCTTTTAAAAATTTTGATTATATCGATTATGAATGGGTTTTTCTCTGAAAGAAAATTCTGTTACATCTTTAACAATGTGAGAATCATGATATTGTCAGATAAATATTCTGAATTCTTGTCATAAATTAACCAATGATGAAGGAAATAGTTAATTGACAAAAGAAAATATGATGAATTGTTTCTTCAGAAATTAATCATCAAGCTTTCCTATCTAATTGTAGGAGTCACCTGAAGTCGATGAGTAGAAATACAATGGTGTCTCTAGGGCATTTACATACATACCGCCTAATTCTAATTCATTTACATGTCTGTCATCTGTACTTTACTTTTTATGTTTATACCACTCAAATCTTTCACATCGCATAAAAAATACAACGATTTTAACTTTTAGAAAGTGAATTGTACCTTTTCATGCATATGTAAGCTGGTATGCATATAAAAATTGAAGTTTAGGCGTTAGATATGTTAATACATAAGGATTGAGTGTTATGTATGTAAATCTTCCATTGTTTTTATGTTTAAACGCTGAAGTCTTCATTTAAATCCTTCTGATATCATTATTTATATTTAAATATTGTACAAATTATTCGTCACTGTAATCTGTTTAACACTTCTTATTTTTTCAGGGTAATGCTAAGAGAAATTTTCTCGAATCAGTCGAGGCTCATGTAAACCTGGGTGTTGATCCGCGTCGAAGTGATCAGGTCTTGTTTACTAAGCCTGCTAAGTTTTGGTTACACTGCATATTCATTAAAAGGAGCATTTACATACATACCACACAATTCTTATGTATTTACATATCTAACACCTAAAACTTCATGTTGACATTCATAAAACTCAAACTTCTATCATCACATCAAAAACACCACTTCTTCTAACTTTTTAAAAGTGAAATGCACATTTTTATGTATATGTTTGTAGCATCAAGGTGTTATCAATGTAAATATGAAAGTTTAGGTGCTAGATATGTAAATCCATAAAAGTTGTATGGTATGTAAGTAAATTTTCCTTATTTAAAATGCCACCAAACTCTTAGTATGATACTATGTTCATTAAAATTCTGCGGTTACTGTATTTGTTTTTCCTTACATTTGTTTAAAGTTATCTTTTATGGTAATAGAATGTTATAAATAGTTCTGTTCAATCTTGCTATGTTGCATTTCATATGGATATTGTAATCACAGATGGTTCGTGGTGCATTAACGCTACCTCATGGTACAGGAAAGGTACAAGTCAGCTTCATTTCGAGGCCATTTTTTTTTTGTTTTCTGTATCGAATTTCTTAACCTGATAAGCTCGCTCGTTAGACTGTTAGGGTTGCTGTATTTGCAGAAGGAGTAGCAGCTGATGAAGCGAGGGTTGCAGGTGCGGATGTTGTGGGTGGTGATGAGCTCATCGAGGAGATAAAAGCTGGTACAGGGGTGCTGCTCCAAACATATTAATTTGGAAGATCTACATACATACCACTTAATTCCTATGTCTTTACATATTTAATACCTAAACTTTAATTTATACTTGCATGCCACCTTACTTACCTATGCATGAAAAAATGCAATTCACTTTTTGAAAGTTAAAATGGTGGTATTGTTGATGTAATATGAAAGATTTTGGCAGTTTAATTGTAGAATGTGAAGTTAGGTGTTAGATAGGTAAATATGTAGGAATTTGGTGGTATGTATATAAATGTCCCTATTAATTTTCTATTACTTCAATAGCTCATTGATTACTTGTTGCCTTCTTGATTTGATATGCAACTTAAGAATAGTTGCATTTAAAGGTGTAAAGGAGCAAGCTCACTCATGAGCCGGCTCGGACTTGACTTGATAATTGGTTTGTGAGTTGAGCTTGATGAGCTAATAAGCCAAGTCAAGCGAGCCTCGACTCGACACGTTTGTTTGTGAGCCAGCTCGTTTAAAAAATAATTAATGTTAAATATACTCAAAATATATTAAAATTCATAGATTTCTCTTTAAACAATTAAAAATATTTAAAAATGATATTTTACATTTTATATCAAGTGAATTCTTATTATTTATGATATGATTGCTTATTCTGTGTATCTTTTTGTGATTTTATTATAACATTAGCTTGAATTAATATTATTTTCTCTTTCATAATAAACAAGTTGGCATGAGCCGGCTAGAATTCATAGAATTAAGCTTGGGTATACCCCTAGTAGCATTTGACTTTTTATATTACTTTTTTATGACTATTAAAATTATGAGATTGACATTCAGTTTGCTCTGAAATTTTAGCTCGAACAGAAATTTACCCTTTCTGGAAACTTTCTGAAGCTGTGTAAAACTAAAGTTATTTTTTTTTCTAATATTGGTAATTTAGGACCTGATTATTTCTTGATTGAAATCTGCAGGAGGAGGTAAAATAAAGTTTGATAAGTGCATAGCAACTCCTATGTTTATGCCTCGTTTGTCCAGGGTTTGTTATCTAATTTTTCTAGAATATATGTGATCATTAATGAAATCATCATTAGTCTTATCCTAATTATTTGATCTGGTATTCTTTTATCAGATTGGTCGGATTCTTGGTCCGCGTGGGTTGATGCCAAACCCCAAGGTAAGTTCCTAGTTATTAATTTGATACTATGAAGCTTATATTTGTTTATCTACTTAAAAATTATTTCTATCATTTTGTAGTTAGGATCTGTGACAAATGATGTCTCTGCTGCTGTAAAGGCGGCAAAATGTGGACGTGTAGATTTTAAAATTGATAAAACTGTTATTGTCCATGTAGGCCTTGGGAAGGTAAGTCGCATTGCTACGTTTGCATTAAGAGTTATTTCTCTTCCATCTACATTCGATTTGCACATGAAAGTACTTCTTTTCCCTTCTAAAGCACGTTGAAGTAAAGTTTAGGCTTGTTTTGAGATCTAATCATGGATTTTATATATATGCCATGTTAGCTATGCATGAAAATGTGTATTTCACTAAATAGTTATAATAGTGGTATTTTCGATGTGATATGAAAGATTTGGCATGGATAGTTTCTAAATTTTGAATGTTGAATTGGTAGAATACCTTTTATATGCGCGTTTAATTGGTATTTGGTAGAATTGGTATTTGGTGTTTAATGGAGGTTAACAACTTTTCAAAATTTAGTTAGTGTTTTTTAACAACTGTATGCGCGTGTCTCCTCTTGTACAAAGAAAAATGAAGATACTTAAAAGTTTCTTCCATCATTTATTTTCTACACATATCTACCAATTCTTCTTTGATATGAAAGATTTGGTGTTGTTGTTAAAAAACACCAAATCTTAAATATGAATCATATCTAACAGTAAAACTTAAATCATAAATACCACATATCTAAATTTTGATGGTCCTGTTTTGACCCATTTGATGTGCTCAGTTTAGCTCCTTTTGGAGTTGCGTTTTGACTATAATTCTTTTCTGTTTTAGCCCCTCTTGCTAGGCTCGGTTTGCCTGGGATGTTTCTCTGTTTTTGGTCCCTTTTGCTGGGCTCGCTTTGCCCCCTGTGCTGGGCTCAGTTTGCCCCTGTGCTGGGCTCAGTTTGCCCCTGTGCTGGGCTCGGTTTGTCTCTTTTATTGTGCTCGGTTTGCCCTTGTGCTGGGCTTGGTTTTGCCTCGAAATGGTTCAGTTTTTGCCCCTTGTGCTAGGCTCAATTTTGCCTCATGATGGATGGGTTTTGGTTACCTATTGGGTTAGGCCTTACTTTTTCGACTCTTCTCCTTCCTCACGTGGCCGCTCGACTTTTCGACTTTCCAATAGCAGGAGCTGGGTTGGCCTACCTTTCTCCTTCTCGAGGCTTTACCTTCTCCTTCTTTATCGGGTTGACCCTGTATTGAACATATTTGAGGCATGGTTTTTGCTGTTTCTTTGATGCCTTCTACGATTGGAATACATAAACAACTGAAATTTGATTTTTTAAAAACCTTTTGTAGTTGGTTTGAGTCATTTTTTTGCTCCTTACAGCTGATGTCACTATTTAAAAGAATGTTAAAATCTGTTTAGAACTTAAAGGATTTAATTTCAGATGCTTGGTTTTATCTCCTGATATTTCCTCTATTCAAATATATGTTAGAGTCCGTTTTAATACTTTAAGAAGTCGATTTTGTGGTTCGGTTTCAGCTCCCTGGGGTTGTCTTCTTGGCTCGAACTCCATGTCGGTTGGAAATTTAATTTTGTAGACCTCTTGGGTGTCTATTTTGAAGTCTCAGTTTAACTCTAAGCTGCGGTTTATGTATTTGAAATGCATATTTAATGGAATATCGATTTGGGGCTTGATTTTTGGCTCCCTATTATGGTTGCCTCTATTCGAAACATATGAAGGTGATTTTATTTGATTTTTGGGGTTTTGTGTTGCTCCCCTTGGCTGTCCCTGGTCGTGAACCTCCATGCCTTGGTTCTTTGATTCTCCGTTGCTGCCCCTCTTTTTCAAATCGTATGTTGGAAGAAATGTTGTCTCTTTGAGAGCTTTTAAATTTATTTCAGAAAAGTTTACTTTCGTTCTTGTTTTCTTTCTCTGATTCGAAACACCTTTAGATGGAAAGATGAGATTTTGAAGCTTTTTGGGCTTGCTTTGTGGCCCCGTGTTGCTTTTTTTGGCCTTGAACCTTTCGGTTGAGAGCTTTTATGTTGGGTTGGGGGATTTATATCTTAAATGGTTGGTGGTTTCCCTTTGCTATCCCTGGCCGTGAGCCCTCTCCCGTGGCTCCTTTTGTATTGTTGGCTGGTGGCTTTTTTTCTTTGGTTATCTTTACCAGTGAATTGGAAATTGTTGGTTTGGGTTGGTGGTTTCTCGTGTTGCTCTTACCCGAGAGCATCTAGCTGTGATTTCCCTTATACTGGGCTCGGTTTGCCCTTTTGGCTGCTACCCTGCTTGAATAGGAATTAGTGGCTTCTCTGGATGTTCCTGGCTGTGAGCATTTCTTGTAGTATCCTTCTATTTTGTTTAAATGTTTCCTATTGCCGGGGTGATGAATATTTGGCTGAATGTGCTATTTTGGGGCTTAGTTGTGCTTTTTCTTGCCCCTACCCGTGAGCTTTTGTCCTCTTTCCTGTCCCAAACCGTGACATTGTATTAGGGATTGGTTGTGCTTTTTCTGGCCTATACCCGCGGGCTTATTCTGTTGTTTGGTTGTGCCCTTTCTTAACCCTACCCATGAGCTTAAATATATGGTGGTCTTCTTTTTGCTGCCGCTACCCGTGAGTCTTACCTCATGATTTCTCTATGAGAAAAATTGGTGGTGGTTTTCTTTTTGCTGCCTTGGCCATGAGCCTTATCTTGTGATTTCTCTATGTGATAAGTTGGGTTGGTGGTCGTCCCTCTCTGTTGCTTCTGGCCGTGAGCATTTATATGGTTTTATCTGGATGATTTCATGCTTATTTGATATGAGAAGCTTTTGATTAAGGTTGGAATTGAATGGTTTTAATATTGACATGTTTTTTGGAAATTTAGAAGGTTGCCGTCCCTGGATTATTTTTCTTTATTTGATCCGTGAAATATGAAAGACTCTTATAACTTCATTTCGAGAAATCATAAAGTTGATATGAATTGGATTCATGAAGGATTTGAAAGCTTATAAAATTGTCATTCACAAAATAGTTTTTTTTTTTTTTTTGGAAGTTTGACATTAAGATTTGAATAACATAAATGTCACATTTGAGTTCAGACTTGGGCGTGTGATTATGTAGGTGTCAGTGGAGCCGCGTATACAATTGTCACATTGATTCGGGTCCGTTTCAATCTGTTCGAAACAAGAATCGGAAGGGATATTATTCTTGGGTTGATTCATTTATGAAATTTGAGAAAATGATATTTTTTTTTTGTTGATTCAAGGATCTTGGGCCCTCTTTTTCAGAACTTTTGGTCACTATTTTGAGGATCGATTCACCCTTTGCCTTTTTGATCTTTTGGGTGGATTAGTTCCTCCTCTCTCTCATCCCCATTTTTATTTTTTTTTCCTTGCTTCTTGATTATGTTTTCAGTGCTTATGTCTGACACATAAGTGCTCATATATTGTCTTTTGCTATATATGAAACCATCAAACAATGTCACAAGTAGGTCGGTCTTTTTTTTTTTGGGGATTAGGGCGATGGGGGCTTAGGGCGATGATAACACATGCACGCCGATGGTGGAGTAGAATGATATTCCATCCTATGACATCAGGACCCAATCCTGAGACCTGATAAACTGTAGGGGATAGTATCATTCACCGACACAAGACTAGCGGGGGACCCGTACCTTCTTAGGTTATTGGCGGTCCTACTCTTGACATCGTAATCGACTCGTGGACAATCGTAATTTTTCAAAACTGATAAGAACAGAACATGATAAGAGCAAATACAATATTTGTAAAAAAATATTTTACTACAAAATTGATGTAAATTCATTTTGTATGTCTGAAATCCATGTGCATGCTAAAATATAAAATTTAAATATATTGCAACTTGATTGTCCACTTGTTGATTACTAATACTGGGCTAAGGAGTACCCTCCTAAGTTAGGTTTAGTAGGACACTCTTCTCGTTGAGTGAGTGACGGACTCTGTACATCCGGGCGACCGATAGTAGCCTTCGACGTCTTTCGAGTACAAATATGCAGTATCTGAACTTAGCCCCGACCCGAGTGCTTGCGGTTTTCTTTCTTCGGATTTTTCGTGGGATTTTATTGGAATTTTTGGTAAAGCACTCGTGGTCTTTTTTCAGGGATCTTCCTGTGTTTTCGGTGAATTTCTTTGAGTTTGCTGTTTTGCTTCGAGATTTCCGTTGAGTCATTTGTCGATTTTCTCGAGCATTCTTTCATCGTAGGTCATTTACCGTTCTTTCTTGAGTTTTCCATATGATATTTTTTTTGTTGATACAATGCATGTTAGCTCATTTCTTAAATTCTGTCATTATACTTGTAGCTGCTACTGTTTCTTTTACACATTACACCTTAGAATAGGAGGTCAGTAGTTGGTTTAAGAAGAGGTACCCGGCAGCAGAACGTTGACTAAACAATTGCATATACCCTTAAAATTAACATCGAATCCGAAGCGAACACCATGGGCAGCACGACGAGGACACATAGGATCAACTTCGAGATGGATCTACAATATCAAAATAAGTTCACGACAACGCAACATTTTCCTTAGTTTAAATAACAAGTCATAGGACTTCGAGGTGGTTTGCTTAGCTCAGCGTAAATCCTCACCTTATCTTTAGGTTTTTGCTTAATCCTGTTATGCAATTATAAAACCTAATACTTTTAGGATTCCGAGGTTACCATGCGATACGGTGTAAATTCTCCTATCTTTTTAGGTCATTTGCACGATCAGATATCGTGCGAATGTAAGTCTTAAATTCTAAAGTAAATTGCAGGATTAAACATTGAATGGATTAAACATTGATAAACATTGAATAACATCATTTCAAAGACATAAAACCAAACAATAGGATAAATAAGAAATCACCAGGGTTTCTTTGGATCTGTGATATCCCCTACTCTTAATTCTTTTGGATTCCTTAAAAAAAACTGTTCCTATTTGAGCCACTCTCATTTGATTTTTCTATGTCCAATCGTGGAAGCCTAGAATTTGAAATCTGGAAGGTAAAACCACTGATTTTAATTGAGAGTTTTTTTAAGTGACTTCGGTCATTTAAGATGTAATTAACTATAAGGTCTTGTCTCTATAGGAAACTTAGAACTCAGGTAAAATAAACCTTATCTAATCCTTATATTAGGTAATGGAACTTGTCGGCCATACATAAAAGTTTTTGCAGACCAAACGGATGTTACAAAC